CCCGCTTCATGTGGCATCCCGTCAGGGGCGTCCCCCGCTTCATGTGGCATCCCGTCAGGGGCATCCCCCGCTTCATGTGGCATCCCGTCAGGGGCGTCCCCCGCTTCATGCGGCATCCCGTCAGGGGCGTCCCCCGCTTCATGTGGCATCTCGCCCGGGGCGTCCCCCGCTTCATGTGACGTCCTCTATTTCATATCTTGTCCATCTTAGTATAGACTCCAGTTTTCCCATAAACCCATAAAATTCTATGGTACATGAATGGATGGACACACAACATTTAATCAACATTGTATAAAAGATTTAATGAATATTTATGTGTGTTTGTTTGCCACTCGCACTGGACCAGCTTAATCATTGTAATTATAATTATTGGTAACATCATTATCAACGTTCTGTTGAGCACAAACACAATCCCACCCATTAATGTTAACAGGAAATAACTAAACACTAGCTACAGATTTTAAAGACTATATTAGCTGGTCATTAGGATTAATAACTCAGGATCTTGTTTTGAAAAAGCAGATGATTATTATTCTGATAAGATATGGCAGATACAATCACACGTAATATGGTCTCAGTTTCAGATGTAGATTAACACTTTCAAGTTGTCAAGTCTGCTTAACCTTTTTTGATGTGTGTAATTGTGTGAGAAACAATAAACAATGAACATATTTAATTGTGGTGAGTCTATAGATAGAAGCATAATCTTTAGGAAAATAATAATTATTGTAATTTGGAACAAAGGCACCTGCAATTAAATGGCAAAAATGGGAGGGGTATTAAAAATAGGGCAGGGATCATCAACATGTCTGTACTTGGACAAACATGTCTATAGCAAACTGTTTTCATTGAGAAAAAAAAGTCTGTGTAGGCAACGTTTTAAAATGCTGCCTCTGTGACAATAACTGCATTTTCATCAAAACGGCCATCAGGATCTGTCATGGTGGTGGCTGCTGGAAATAAGGTATTTTAAAACAGAAAAAACAAATTTTAAAAGTTTCCATGGCTTTTTGAGATCCCATGACCCTGACCAGGATAAATGGTTAGACGATGGATGGATGGGTGGATGGATACAAACACATTTTACATGCATACTTTCCATTTGCAATGTAAAGGTGCCCCCTTACTGTTGAAGTGTAACACTTTTATTTATCTAATTTTCTTGTAGGTCAGTGTTTATGTTGATTTTGAACATCGTCGTTAATATGACCCACATAAAGGGGCCGCGCAACCGCTGTGTCACTAAGAGCAGATAATTAGGGAAAATGGATTAATTCATGGGTGTTTCTTTTCAGATGAGGCGTGTTTCTCAAAGGCATCGTTGCCACATTCTAGGTACTAAAATAGTCTCTGCCCTCGTTTACTCCTGAATGCTTGCCATTAAGAATAAATAATCAAATTTCAACACACACACACACACACACACACAGTGCTGGTTTCAGCATACTTGTGAGAGCAACAAATTAATCCTCAAAAAGAGATGAAAGCTGATAAGAAAACCAAGAAGTGGGTCTTTGGAATGTCCTTAAAAAAGGGATTGTATCCTGGAAACAGACCCCTGAAGGGTCAGTTAATGCCTCAAAATAGGGTACAAAAGCAATGACACAGACACATAAAAATGAAAAGTGGCTATATTGGAGCACATTATGAAACTTAACAACGGAGTTAGGAATTCTTCATTAAAAATTGATACAGTAAACAAAATTTATTTTATTTTCTGGAAGAGATTCATTTATCTTTTAGGAGCAGTTTCGGCAGAACCCAGCCAGCTAACGCACAGCACGCCAACGCGTAGTTCTGGAAAAGTGCTGGGGTAGAATCAATTAACGCAATCACTTAAGTCACAGGAAAACACAGTTATTAAAAATTATGCCTCAATTAAAAATTTGAAGTGAACATTTCTTGCCGCTGTAATGGCTTTGTTTATTCTTCGCCTGCTCGTTATGGTGATATAACAGAGGGTCATCCACAATCCGGAAGCACATTTTAATCATTAATGTCTAATTGGTTTTGAAGGTCATCATTTGTCTCTCTTGCTTTTTCAAGCATTTTTTATCGCAGTAAAGTCCAATTTACTTGCAACATCTGACAGGTACACATGTGTCTACTGTTACACTTGTTTTGATAGAGCACAGACAGATGTGTTGCGTAATTAGCTTTTCTTGCACACAAATCGCCCTCTGGGTGATCCTTATTGCGGCTCACCTGCTTTCAGAGAAGCCGTCTGCACCAGGCCCCCCCACCCAGGAGCCCCCACCTTCCACTCCACAGATCAGCACAAGCTGCAAGCAACTGCGATAACAGGCGTATTAGGGGACGAACATGTGATCTTGTGGGAAACAAAGAAGTGTAGCGTAGCTGGCTGACGTGCCCAGGAATAAGGTGACCCCCCCCCCCCAAACCTCACACTTTATCTTGGGACTGATTCCACGTCAGTTGACCATCTAACGACTAGTTAACCTTTTATAGGAAATTCCCTCTCTTTAGAAAGTCACTTTATCACTTTATTGTCTTACAAAACCTAACACAAGGGCCTCATTTTCCCCCGTTAAGAGTGAGCTCTACTGCTAATTAGAGTTTGGGTTGTGACTGGATGAAGCCACTTTTCTGTCAACCTATGGGAACTCCTTGACACTTGAAGGCAGAGAGCAGAGATCTCTGATAATTCAATTTGTTGGCAAGATTTATTTATTTCAATTTAAGGTTTCTGCTATTCCCTCACCTCCGAAGTGGGCCTGAGCTCACTTCTTCAGTATCTAGAGAATAAGATGACTGGCTGTTACACTATGCTTTGGGGAGCGATTTCTGGGTTAGGGGCAGCAATGTCTGTGCTCAGCTTTGTTGCGCATGTCCGTCCAGTGGGCTGGAGAACCAGGCATGCAAACGAAAGCCGTCTGTAAACGGGATTCTATGTCTCACTGGGATTTGTCACCTGCTAAAACAAAGGTTACGGTTTTATCTGCTGCCGTTTCTTTTTTGGCCAGAAGCTTAAACTTACCCAATACCCATTAGTATGCCTGAAATTATCAGCGTATAATGTATGTTCAACAAACATGCAGTGCCACTGCTATTTACAATACTTAAAGAGATCATACTTATTTCTACCAGTTAACTGAGCTCCTGGAGAACAAGAACATGTTCATAACACATAAATAATGTCTTTAAAATTTAAGCAGGGAACATAGACCGGAATGAATTGGCCAACTGGGAGCAGACAATAGTAAACTGTGAAAAATGCCTCTAATAGTTGTTTTAGCTCTTCTGCTAAATAACATTGCATTTCCTTGACTTATTCTGCAACATTTATGTCTATATCCATCCATGCCGACTGGGGACAGGTGATCCACAACCCCCCACCCCCCCCGCGGGATGCAAAGGGCACGACGTGAGCTATATGCTGGACACAGAGAATAATGATGATTCAGACTGACTAATGCATCTGAACGGGATGCCTTTGGACATAGTGCGGGAACCAGCAAAGCCACAGAGAAGCAGAACCAGAGGCTGACCTGAACCTGCAGCCTGGGAGGGTAACAAACAGTGTGCATAGTTGCGGAGGATTGTTGGAAGGGAATTACATATTAGCCTTCTAATCTCCATGAAAGAAAATGCGAATATCATTGCAGCTGTTAATTAATCCAAGTTCCAACTGCTTATCCTGGATGAGGGAGGGGAGGGGCGAGACCGTATTCGAGACTGTGGAGGGCAGGGGGGCACCCTGGACTGGTTTCCAGTGCAGCACAAGCACATGAACACAGTGCAGGTAATTTACTGTAGAAATGACACTTAGTCTAAATGCATATCTGTGGGCGAAAATCCCATGTTGCCCACGGAGAACATGCAAATCCACAAGCTCACACAGGAAGCACAGGTGGGACTCGAACCTACGGCCTTGTGAGGCAGCAGCCCAATCAACTTTTATATAGATGTTTTTATTACAGTTATTTAAAATGTTCTAATGTTCTAAATGTTCCATATCGTACATCAGTATGAAAAAAAATTTAAAACTTTATTATAAACTTTCTTAAATGCAATTTCTGTGCTTCAAGCATTTATGAACAATTTCCAGTTTTGTCGGAAGCCTTCTGGTACATTAATTAATTAAGCCTCGCATCTCTGTCCGCAGGTCTTCTATACGATACGCGTTTATGTGTCATCTGAGTGGAATCGGGGAAGCTGGTATCTGTGTGTGTGGTGAGACCTTGCAATATCACATATTTTACTTTAAACTGACGTCACGGGAGTGTCAAACGAAGCTGGACTGGCAGGTTGTTAGTGAGTCTGCGAGAGGCAGAGAGAAGCAGCGGAGATACAGCGCGGGGCGGCATCGTTGCACTCTCCAAATGATAAGCGCACCATCTTCCCTCTCTCTCTCATTGCCACTGACATTTCGCCTCTTCAGTCTCATTTTGCAAAGCGTAGTCTTTTTAGACTTCCTGCGCTCCATCTCGTTGTTTTGCATAGTTCAGTAATATGTTTTGAATGATATTGTGAACATGCAGACGGTCGAATTTGCGCCTCCGTATCTCCGTAGGTTGGACTGAAAACACAGCCTCACTTGTTTGCTTTTTAAGTTCCAATTTTGCGCGTCAAACATTTTTTCGTAGGCGATGCCATATCGGTATGATTTAAATTAACATCATGGGAAAAGACCGTGCTCAGATGCGAAGCTGAATCTACGGGAAATGTTGACGATTCACCTTACCGCTTTGGTGACATTTTTCATGCCGTTTGATGGGAATTGGCAGAGGAATGCATCTGGTCATCCTCGATACATCGAAAGTTTGATCGACACAAGCCAATGAACTGAAGGAGCCTTATTGAATAACTTGTAGGAAAAGCACCTGCCCTCGATCGCTCCCGGCGCGTTCTTCTGCTGCGTTAAATAAAATAAAGAGGAAGCTACTCCGCGTAAAACAGATACTTGGCCTCCCGACTTGTCATTTTTTCGGAGTAATTTTAATGTGCGAGATCGTGAGGGGTCGAAGCTCAGAATGTTCGCATTGTTGATACCAGGAATAAGGTCTTTAACTTAACTGTTTTATGTGCGATCATCGACATTTTGGGAAGCGCGCATAAATGGGAGGATACAGGAAAGACTGATTCGGAATTATTATAGGAAAAATGTGGATAAAACACCTTATTCATCGCAGGTAAGATAAATGTTAACTTAATTGTTGTTTTTTCATGATCGAAAAATTCGCAAATATGGGCGCTAAACAAATCAATGCGCCAGGTAAGATGTCATCAAGTTATTAAAAATACTATTGCATATCTAAATAGTCTTTACTAACAAGGTTGTGCATTTTTATACGGATTTGAGATTTTTTAACTACGTCATGAAAAGAGTTAATAGTATTAATAGTATTGGTAAATTATTTTTGTACATATATCTAATAACTTATTCATTCAGATGATTATCAGTTGGTAAATACATAAATGCGACTGGCAATATTTATTTCAAGTGTCTCTGCTGTGATTTTTAACACTGGATATATTAAGAGGAACGTTAAAAAGATATTTCTTAGTTTACTTATTATTACCAAGTATTTTGTAGTGCAAATATTCAGGCGCTGTACACTGGAGGTCGCCAAACACACACGGTAAGGTATAGAAGGTAGAATTGGAATTGCACAGTCGTCTTAGGAAACAGCGCAAGGAAAAGAGAAAAAGTAAAACACACCCCAACATACATAACGTTCACAAAGCACACAAGATAATACTTTTATAGGGAAAAACATTTCTAGCTAATTCCAAAAATATGTGTTTAGTACAATGAAACACTGGGAATATCCAGTAAAAACGTATGCGAACAGTGGAAGTATATAGCTTAGAGAGCCATGGCTGCATAATCCCAGTATGATCATAAACTAATGATTCTAATAACGCTTCGTAATTTGCCCCATGTGGCGATATTACTTGACATCAAAGGAAACTCATATAAAATTTATTTTTAATCCTTTTAAGTATCGTCAACTAATGCTTCCTATTTCTGCATACGAAAGACATACTGATATCATTTATAAAAGACTAAAATGACTCCCGGAAAGTAGTCAAATTGCGTCCTTTGGCAGCTTGATTTAATCAGAATGGAATGTTTGAAATTAAAATTTCAGGCGACTATTTTAAAACTAATTTCTCTGTTAAAATTTTAAATCCAGACAGAATAATACAGAATAAGACAGAATAGTCGCAGGGCGAATCGGCATTCGGTACATAGGATACAAGCAATATTTAACATTTTTCACAGATAGTTTGGAGACAAATGCTTGTTTTATATCTAAGGAAGTATTAACATCGGTATATGAAACAGGCACAAGAAATTGCAACCACTAAGAATAATTTTAATTGACGGTAAAATCACATGCGCACCTTAACCGCTAAAATGCGAGGCAAAGGGGGCTGTTTAATGTCTTGTTCATGTCTAGTTCTGTGTCTCCAGATTAGTATTAGGCAGAAGCTGAATCCAGCTAATCCATAAAAGTTTAATTGCCCATGCAAAATTCAATGAGAATCATAGTCAGGAAGAGTAAGAGCGCCTTCGGAGGACAAATCCAGGACAGCGAGTAAGCCCGAGGTGACTGTTCTCCTAAAAAATAGTTGTGAGTTTTAAATGTAACATGAGAACATGAGTACGCTTGACGTGCGTTTGTCTGCTTTCCTCCTTTCTTGTGTGAACTCAAGGTCAGTATTTATGATTCCAGGTAATACTTATTAGCCAAAATCTCACTAATGGAGCCATTCTCTCTCTCTCTCTCTCTCTCTCTCTCTCTCTCTCTCCCTCTCTCTCTCTCTCTCGGGCGAGCGCCCACACACACATATATGTACAAAAAAATCTTCTGTCCATTTATCAATCCGAGATGTATATAAATGAATTCAGTTGTACTAAAACGCATTTTACTAAACTCATGTAAGCTAAAATAAATAACCCGCTCTGTGCAACACTATGTGCTAAATTTGTTTTCTTTTTTCACAGATTTAAGTATCCTCATATATATATCGGAATGGAAAGGCTGGATAGAACAGACTTTCATCCTTTTCAAGGGTTATCAGAAAGAAAAATAGCTGTAGTCTAAGTAACTTCATAGCTGCTCTGATTTTAGACGGTTCGTGTGTTACGTCTCGTTTACACCAAGTTTGAACAACTGTTGTAATGTTAATTAAGATAGAGAAACTCAATTTATATGTTACATTTCTTTGGAAATATATCTTGCTGAGGAGTAAAACATCTAATTATATGTGCCTACAGTATATAGCTAATTATAAGCACAAATGTAATAGTTCCGAGAGACGGATAAACTTTCATATGGTGTTCTCGCCTGACAGTTGATGTTATAAGTGAATATACTATACTGCTGTTAAGTCAATTCTTTGGTTAAAGTCATACAGGAATTCTGTCCTTTTATACAGCTGGATCATTCAGACATTTAGGTTACAGGTCCGCCCAGAGCTGGCGCTCCCACTAAGATACAAAGAGACACTTTGAGAGGATTCGTCGTCCGCGTGTGGCAATAATGTAAATTTATAATCTCCAAATACTGCGGTTTAGTGAATGTAATTCTCGGAAATTGATCTAGGGGAAAAAAGAAGGAAAAAAAACACAAATTTCAGCATTTACCAGAAAAGAAACAATTCGGAGCCTCTTGTCTATGTTTTACTTCCTAACCATCAATAAATTGATATGCTGGAGTGATTAAGTACAATTTTTAAGGTTTTCGTGTCATAAAAGTTTTTTTTTTTTTTTTTTTGCTAATTGATCGTCTTTTCTGTCTTGTCTTTTTGGGAACATGAGTAACAGAGAAGTAATGGGCTGCAAAAGGCTGTTGCGGTTTGATCCGTCAGCGTCCAGCTGGGGTGTGGGTTTAGATTGGTGTGCAAATTAAGCAGGTGATGTATAGTAATGTAGCCATAATGAATGAAAGTAATTAATGAATGGAATTCACTTGTTTCCAAGCAACGAAGCCACTTTTTTATTTAAAGCAGAACTAGAATTTCAAAGAAGGTCACAGATTTTCCCTTCTGGGAGGAGTGAGAAGGACAACATTTTGTGTAGCGGAACTGAATTAGTTCACTATGATCAATTAATGGATATGTTATATTATGTGTGAACTCTGAGACTGTATATTAATAAGAACATAAGAAATTTAAAAACGGGAGGAGGCTATTCCTCCCATCAAGCTCGTTTGGGGAGAACTTAACTGTAATTATGATCTTTTGACAAAACATTAAAAACATGAACAATTTGGGGAATTAATATTTACTACATTTCTGGAGATTTGAGGTGCTGATTCTGAACATCAATCAATCAATCAAAAAATTGAAAATTCAACTAATGACTTAATCAGCCATCTGTATACCCCACCACCCACATGCCGGTACCAGCTCAGTCAGTCAAATCACATCTCAGTGAATATGGCAGATCTGTGCAAGAATTTTGTAATGAATAATCAGGGTATTTCTCAGCATAAAACATCATTGGTAGCTCACAGCTGATGCTGATTGTCAAATATGGCAAACAAACATAGAACTTCATTCCGGAGTCTGTAAATATTATACTCAAAATTACTGAAATGAAAGTGATGAATAGTTTGCATTGAAATCACAGTTGTCTGGCTCTTGTTTATCAGCAATTTATTTAAAAACTGTGATCAGGATAAGGATGAAACTCCAGACTAACGCCAGGTGAGTCATATGTCAGACCCCAGCCAAGCTCCGCACCTCAAGCACGAGCCGTTTCAGTTCTTTAAAGGGGCCGTGCTCTGGATAAGCATCTCATCATTACTCTGCATCGCTGGAGAATGTGCTTCCACAGCATATGAATCAGCTGTTCTTCCTGAATAGCTGAAAAATACCAAAGGGCCCTACCCTGTGACATTTCCTGTATTGTGAAATTAGAGGAGGCAGTGGGTGAAAGATTTCATTATTCTGGACCTTTATTGTATGGGGACAGACATTGATGTTTTAATGCAGAATTCAATGTTATTGATTTGATAATGAGCCTGCAGTATAGGCACAATTGGTCGTCAGTGTCTTTGATGTGAACTTCACCTGCAGTAACGGGTGGAACTCTGGTCAGAGTTCTGAGTTCCATTTCCTCCATGGCAACAGTGGAATTGCAGGAGGGCAGCGAGGATGTGAAAGGGCCTGGTGAGCATGGTGCATGGGGGGAGGGCCATTATTTTCAAATTTTCAATCTTTCCCCTTGATCTGCAGTTACATACATACCATAGAATATCCCAGGCTTCGACATGGCTATGAGGAATCCCAGTGGTAAATTGCCTGTACTTAATGTCATCTTTGAGTGCATTGTTTTATTTTATTTTCCAGTGAATTAGCCAGATCACTTAAAAACATACCAGTTTCAGCTAGATGTTTTAATAGAGATGTTACATAAAAAAATTCAGGCTAAATACAGTGGTTCATCACTTACTGCTTTGTGATGCTTGAGAAAAATTGTGCAGCTCCAGTGGTTCACTGGCTTCAGGTTCAGTACAGTACAGTACTGTAGGTACTTGTGTTATTGTTGTATAACTATCAGTGGTGGGTCAAGACCATTTAAACTGGGGGCCAGACTGGGTCCAGTTGTTCTGCATTTGACCTTAATATCCTCCAAGTATTACGTACACTAGATTGTCAGCATTAAGAAGCAAAAGACAATTTCGAAAGACGATAAGTTACTTATGCAATGCTTTACCATTTTACAAATATGTAACTCACTCTGATTCCTTGATTAGACTGTCTTTTGTGTCCTGAAGCTTGATTTTTCTGTCGTTAACTTCACTTTTCACCAACTGAAGCACCCGGCGCCCCCCCCCCCCATTCAGAGTCCGTCAAGAAAATGTCGTTATGTTTCCGTTTTGCCTGTTCCCAGCAGACAAAGTTTTAGTCCACATATATAATTGTAAATAATAGTAATAACAGCACATTTATTTTAGACCCAAGTAGCATACGTATTTGGGGGGGAGGGGAGACACTGGGGGCACCGCGCCCCCAGAACCTCCTCAGATAGTTGTTGTTGTTATCACACACTGCATAATCCTCTCTCCTTCAGCCGTTGACTGAACATTCAGAGTTTTTACGAGCTGTTTTTAGGATCTTCTGCCCAGACGTGAAGAACGCGACGCACCTCGCCGCTAGACCAAGCGAGGGCTCG